GGGGGGCCCAGCCCCTGAACAAAGATAACTTCAGTGCGGTCCTGGGGGCGGGGCGGGACACCGGTTTCTGAAGGGAGCTTGGCTCGGTCCCCACTGGGACCCAGAGTGGGGGCACCTGGGCCCGGCCAGGCTGGGCGGGGTGGGGCGGGGGCTGCGGTCAGGCCGGGCAGCGCCTCTGAGCTGACCCGGGCTCCGGCCACTGGGAGGCTGCTGTTGTGGCCTAAAACCCTGCGGGGCCTCCCATGGCGCCACCAGCCTGGATGAGCCCCGGGGCGCGAAGTCCACCTTGCCGGATGAGACGCCCAGGGCGGCCAGGCCGCCGGGTCTGCGGTTGGGACGGCCGCGGAGGCCTCCCCGGGCCTGGCCCTGCCAGGGGCTCCAGATCCTCCTCCCCCCTCCTCAGCCCACACGGCTCCCTGGGGGGCCCACCCCAGGGAGCGGAGAGTGAGGCGGGTCTGTCTGCCCTAAGCGTGAGTTGGGGGCTGCTCCTGCCCCGACGTGGCCACTCGGGCTGCCAGGAAAGGACAGCAGGGCTGGGCTGGGGCAGGGCAGAGGGGCGCGGGGCGAGCCGACGGGGAGGGCCGTCTGGTCCCCTGGAATCCACCTCTGCCGTGTACAGTGAACGGGGCTGAGCCGCCGGGAGCTGCAGGTGCTGCTGGGAGGTCCCCTCGGGCTCCTGACCCTTCCCTGCCCAGTCACCTGTCCTCAGAGGGGCTTGGTGGGGTGGGCCACGGGCAGTGCACCCTGGGCGGGCAGCAGGGGCAGCAGCCTCTATGCTGAGACCCTGGGGAGCTGGTCCCCCAAGGCCGGTGCCGGCCACGCTCCCGGCCGCTCAGGGGGCCCAGCGGACTGGGCCTCAGTGGCCTTGTCGGGCACACGTCTGCGGGCCCCTCCCCGCCTCAGTTTCCCTTCACTGGGCCTCCTGGCATCAGCCTTCCCTCAGCCCGGCCCCGCCCAGGTCGGCCTCGTTACACGGCGTCTGTGCCCGAGTGACGGGGCCGCGGGGCCTGGCCGCAGCGCCCACCCGGGCTGCCGGGGCCTCTCGCGTCCTTCCCGGACGACCTCGGGGGCAGACAGACCCGGGAGGGCCTGCACCCGTGCGGCGCAGCTGGGCCACAACACGAGGGGCTCGGGTGGGTCTTGGGGTGCACGGACGTGGGCGAGCGGGGGCCGCCGGGGCTCCGAGGTGCGGACACGTTTATTGGGGGGGCGGGGCTGTGGAGCCTGGGGCCACTGGCGCCTCAGCGGGGCAGCCCAGAGCGGCAGGAGGGGCAGCAGGGAGGCGGGCGGGGGCCGGCCGGGGCCCACCACCTTCTGGATCCAGCTGAAGTAGGCGCTGACGCTGGTGTAGACACGGGGCCGGTTGGGCAGCCCCACCCCCAGCTCACGATTCCAACGTGGATCCACAGCCCGTCCCTTTCACAGGACAAGGGTCCTCCTGAGCCCCCTGGGGAGCGGCGCCTGTGAGCTGGGGGCTGGGGGAGGTGGGGCTGGTGCCGGGCCAAAGGGCGGCTGGGGACCAGGCCGTGCGAATCTCCCCCCGCGGCAGACGGTGTCTGTCTCCTGCCCCCCCCCAGCTCGCCCCCAGGCCGAGGCCCCCGCTGGGGCGGGCGGCGGCACCCACGGTGCAGGAGTCCGGGCTGCCCCCTCCATGCCCGCGGAAGCTGCTCCTCCCCGCGCGGTGGGCTGCTGAAGCAGGTGCCTGCACCCGGACTTGATGATGATGGAGACCAGCGCCTCCTGCAGCGTGTGGGTCACTGGGCGGGGAGAGACGGGCTCAGGCCTGCGCCCCACGCAGCCCTGGCACACGCCAGGTGCGCAGGGGAGCGCACGGGCAGCGGGCTCGGAGGCCCCAGGGCGGCGGCACTGCCAACCGCCCCCGCCTCTGCTGCCTGAGTCCGCCAGCCAGGGAGGGACCCCGGGGCGCCGCAGACCCCTCCTGCCTCCCGCTGCCCCCCAGCGGCCTGCTCTGCGCCCCACTCTGTCCCTGGGGAGTCCTCCCCCCACACCTCTGGCCTGCACCCCAGTTCTCGTGTGTATACATAAATGAATCTTTAATAATAATAATAATAAAAGATTGTATGTGCATACGCACAGGGATTCCAAGCGAGTTGCTAAAGAGTGAGAACAGGTTTTCGTTTACAACCTGCCCCAGTCGCCAAGAGGCCT